GTAGGCAAACACAGCTGGTCCTGCAGAAGGTAAATCCAGGGTGATTTGCTGCTCTCCAGCTGAATTCTCCGACGATGTCAGACGATTTCGTTGTGTCGCATTTACCCTTTTGACAGCTTCCTGCTCGATAACATCTGTGGACAGATTCGGTGAGAATTTCATGGTCCCTCGTGAAAAACTCGATTTTCTTCTGACACACGTAGCGAATGCTTTGCATGCGGAGTGAAATAACACCTATCGACTCATTTCTCGTGTTTCTCAAAGAGAGGCATACTTCCTGTCCGAGTGGCTGGAGAGTTAGGGATACTCCTTTGTTGAAGACACAAGTTGTTGTAGTGTTGTTTATCAAACATTTTTCCGTCGAGCTCGCAACTGAAATGACGTCAGAACAACAGATTCCACCTTTCGACGTCAAAGCTAGAATTGCCAGTGCAGTCGTACTCGGCGAAACTCGATAGGGATGATGCCGATTCGAAGATAGGTGCCTTCTTCTATTGTACACGCGAATGTGGTTGAGAAGTGGGGTCAATCCTCTCTGAAGCTTCTGTTCTCCTCGAATTCCACAAGTAGTTGATGATGCTTTTGAAGAGGAGGAACTGTATCTTACAGTATATTTTTATGATCTTCTTGATGATGGAGACGATTGGAGCGAGAATCCAGTACAGCGATACCATAATTGTAACGAATGCTACAACGAGAATGGTGTCGGGAGTTGTCCAACACTGCGTGTTGTAGATCTTTTCCAGACAGATGTTGCAGCGAAGGATCTCGCATATTGGATGAGAAGGGCATGTGATCTGAGGAGTCGTGGAGGCGTTGTCCATTCTTCCAAGCTCTGATCGTAACGGTGTACTTGAAGACTACTAGCTCCGTAGGGAACAGTACATTTGCGGTAGTGGCGTTGAAGATGCTGATGCAGTATGACCGAATGCATGCTTCCATCGCACTTACTTCTCGATCTGCTTCAATCGTTACTCCTCCCTGCGAGCAATTGGTCTTCATGGAATGGTTTCGGCATGGACTTTAGATAGACGTGGGTAAAACCCCCGTGTAG